ACAAATGAAAGGGTGGACACAAAAACAGTATACCTTTATTGAAATTATTATTAATTTTATGCTATTTAAATGATAAAATCAATTTCTATTCAATATAGTTTTACCTCAATTGTTATTACTTTCTATTGAAAACTAATTGTATTGTAAACTCATGTGAAGAAACAATATTTCATTTTTATGGCAGATTAGTTCGCATACAATCAAAGCTCGTTCTCCCCTACGCTCTATACCTGTATTCGCAATCTCTCTGTACTTATATAAAGATATGCGACGATTGTAACCCATATTCACTCCATACATGTTAGAATTTTTTATTTTTGTAATATTTATTAACTCAATTTTATTTAATATTCCTATTTCTCTAATTGTCTTTTAACGTATCGTGTTGTAAACTACCTGACAATAAACAAGCATTTTATATTTTGTTCCTAAGTCTTATTCATATTTTCTTACATAATAGTGATGTTTGACAGTTTAATATTCATTATGAATTACTACTGGAATTTAATTATTTAATTATTCAATATTGTAGAAAGAAATACTTTTCATAAGTTTGCAAAAAACATTTCAATTATTGAATTGGATTAAGGCTTGAGGCTAAACGAGACTAACCTAACGCCCACTTAAATTGTTTCAAATTCTATTAATATAGTGTTCATATAAAATGAATATCAATATAAAAACTCATTATAACTTCAAGTTTTTATTGCCATATATTTCCCGTTATATTCTCGTCTCGTTTTCATTGAAAAAATATTCGATACTTTAAATGGTTTGAATGTTTTGCTGATTAACTCAATCGTTGACAGGCAGTGATCGTAAACCCGTCTATAGTGAAGACACTAGAACTCATTTGAGACTAATATTTCAAACAGTTATTAAACACTATCTAAATAAATAGCGTAACTGTCAGCTCAAATGGTGTAGTATTTATGAATGAATTCATCGCTTATATGACATGAGATTTGCACACAATTCAAACACATCCAGACAAACATATGAATGAAAGTTTTATTGCATTTATCCCATTATCATAATCAGGTGTATCAAATGTATCATGGTCTATTTTTGTGAATTATATACCACAAACATATGTCTTTTCAGGTTATATCTTAACTCTCATCACAATTACTGTAGTTAATAATAATATAACAGTACTTATTATCACATACGTTATTTTGTTATAGCATTTTTATCATGTTATTTTTCAAATGTATATTTTACCGTAAAATAAATATCGTTATTTATGCCACACTTATTACAAACGAAAGTAAGTAAGTATATAAAATGAGTGAATGAATGAAAAGTTGAAGATAGAGTTCACAAGTGTTTGTGTGAAATGAACTCAAAAATATACACGAATTAATAATTCATATATTATATAATGATATAATAATTGCTGCAAATTATAGTGAATATAAATGATATAATTGTGAACATAAAGGAGAATGAGGTTTAAGTCCCCCATTGGACCCGTTGTGGGCTTCTCTACAGTCATACACTCGTAATTGTAGTGTTGGGTCGACTCCTATCATATCATATGCCAGTGCTTTACCCCTCCTATAAACCCATTATACAGTATAGAGTAGTGACGACACAATACACTACACTTACACCCATAATACGGCACTAGAGATGATCGGTCGACACATTAATACCCAATCATTCCCTAAATCATCATTTAATTTCATATTTTGCTCATATATTTAATTGTACTGAAATGAACATACATGTAATATTTATTTAAATATTGATATATTCTTTAAATATAACTATGAATTAACATTAATTTGAGGGAAAATGTACAAAATGTCGGATTTAATAACTTCTAAATAAGTTTAAACTATAACTAAAAATTGGAGGGAATTTGAAAGTTTGAAACAACTATTTCTTTCCGGAAAGTTATTTCATTAGAAGAATTGATACTAAAATCAAAACAACATATAATTAAAAATGGATGAATGAATTGGAGAGAGTTTTTGTGTGCAATTAAAGTGAGACTTTGTGTGAGTATTAATGTGTGCGAAAAAGTTTGGATCGGATGTGAAGTCTAGTGAAAAACGGTTGAGGAGTTTGTGTGAAATGAATGAATAGTATTGAATACATTGTACAACGAATTCATGAATGCAATGGCAGTGTTGTAGTAGTGGTGGTGTAGTAGTAGTGGTGCTGTTGTGGGACTGTAGGGGACTCTGGCTGTGAGTGAGTGGTGTTGAGGGCTGTGTTTGGCTGCGAGTGAGTGCAAGTGTGAGCACTGGTTGTGAGCGCTGGTAGTGTTGGTTGTGTTGGTGTTGTTATACAGAGTTGTGGTACACATAATGTGTACAATAATGACTGCAACAAACCTTTTCCGTTGCCTAACATGTAGTGATTTTTGGCTCAAATAAACTAAATGATGGATAATTTGGATAATTGTGTCGATAATAACGACTCAGACGTTAGGATTGAACAACAATTGCGGATCAAAATCGGTATGTATTACGAGATGATCGCTATATTAACTATAATATAGTTAAGCCATACATACAAATGGCATTCATTCATGAATACATCAATACATTCATACACTTCACGCTATACTCAATGCATTCATTCATTGCATTTTAAGTCATATTTTTCAACACTTTTTTCTTTTTAATCATTAGTTTTGTCTATAAATATATGAATGAAATGTATTTTTACAACTATTTTATACACTTTTCTCTAAAGCGAGAGATAAAACACACAAACGTTTAGTGTTTTGACGTTTGATATGAGATTTCTAAACAAAAAGTCTATTATTTAACTTTATTTTACAACTAAAAACTTATCGTCTCATTAAATATCAATAGAAATGTTATATTCGTATCGATATTTCAATTGATTGATAAATTCATTCAAACAAACAATTTTCGCACAACTATTATAACTAAACAAATAATTGCTTTTATTGTTTCAAAATATAAACATTTATTTTCACTCAAACTCTTATTTAAAACTATTGTAATATTTATTACTTTCATACAAACACTATATTTAATATTTATAAACTAAAAGTGCATTAATTGTATAATTAAAGATAAATTGCTTGATTAGATTTAAATGCGAATTCATTGTTATGATTGTATTGACACGTTTAGGTGAGGCCAAGAACTTAATGCCAAGAAATGGTTCCAACAGTTCCAGTGGTTTACGGGACTGTTATTGTGTGATAAGTCTGGATAGGGAGCAGATATATCGGACATGTAGTACAGTTGAACGGACACTCAAGTAAGACATACCATCACATTATTATATCTCCCATAAGGATAATAATAAGTTGATTATAATTACACTTCTACTCTGTATAAGACTTGTGCTCTTATATCTTACCTGTGCTAACACTGACCCCAAAGTAACACTTAAAAGTCAATTATAGTGTAACGATATAATGATGCCCTCATTCTCTCAATTGTTTGCAAATTATATTATAATATTCATAATGTGTTTGTCTTTTGTTTGCGTTTTGAACGGACAGTCCTTTCTTTGGCGAAGAGTTTCAGTTTGAGATTCCGCGACGTTTTCGCAATTTAGCCATTTATTTATACGATAGGGAGAGATCTGTTAATAACAAAGACAAAGTGATGGGTAAAGTGGCCATTAAGAGGGACGACCTCTCAAAATACCACAACAAGGAGTCCTGGTTTCCGATCAAACCGGTGGACCCCGACTCTGAAGTTCAGGGGAAAATACACGTTGACATCAAACTAGACCACTGTTTCAAACCCGGTGCCCATCAAACACAGCCTAAAGTAGCCGTCAGGTTAGCCCTTGTTTTAATTGGATGCAGACATGAGTTTAATAATGTTGTTGTCTATAGAGTTATCGACTGCAATGATCTCGGAGTCATCAATGGTTGTTGTGATCCGTATGTAATCGTATCGCTATATAATGGTCTCATCAGACAAGAGGCCAAACGAACCAAAATTAAGAAAAAGACAGTTAATCCGCATTACGAGGAAATCTTCTATTTTGATGTAATTATATTTGTTTTGAATTTTAATCAGTTTTAACACAAATGAAAATTTGGAGTGATTTATAAAGTGTTTGATTTTAATTATGATATTGTTTTAGATTCCAATTCGAGGTCAAAATCATGACAGGAATTCAGTTCGAAGTCTTAATAACGTTAATGTAATTAATAATAATAATTTAGAATTGAGGTAATTATTAACAATTAATTAATTAATAACCATTTTATATCATGATTATTAATTGAGTGACAATTGTATGTGAAATGAATAGGTTGTCAGTGATGCACGACGGGAACGGTATGTTTGGCAGTGCTTTCCTCGGAGAAGTCAAAATACCACTCAATGACATAGACCTCAGCGGACACAACGCCTGGTATATAACACCCGGACGATAGTTACCATTAAATTGCTAACAAATGTACTTTTTATAGGTATTTATTGCAACCCCGAGATAGCGGTCGTAGTGATGATCGCGTGGCCACCGATTTGGGTTCCCTTCGCCTTAAAATTGATTACACGTTTGATTATGTGTTTTCTAGTCGTTTCTACGAAACCATCAGAAAATTAATTCTTATATCACCAGAAATTAAGGTATTTGTTGTTGAGCTTTATATACCATTTATATATTTATTTATTTGCGATTCAATGTTTATAAATAATAGCCGATAAGTTCAAGCACTGCCTACATATTGGGCGAACTTGTGTCCAACAAAGTAGATGCCGCTCAACCTCTGGTCAAGATCTTTATGCATTATAAGAAGATAATCCCATTAATCAAAGTGTTAGCTGAGGCTGAGATATCCAAAGTGACGTAAGTTTGCATTAAATGTTTCTTTCATTTCACTCTAAATATATAATACATTGTTTGTAAAGAATGTATGATTTGTTTTATTTCAATCTTTGCTTTTAATATTTGTCTCAAATATTAAGTTAGTATTAAATCGCAATTCCTATTAAAGATTTCTCAAATGTATTAAAAACACCATTGAGTTGATTATGTTTGCAAATATTTACATGAATTCATTAGGCAATGCTATACAATGTATATCAGATGCTCTACATCTGTATATTCTACATAAAACAGCAAAAGTAATTAGACTTTTCCGCAATTATTTTTCGTTTAATTTTAATGACAATAACAAACAAAAAACAGTTGAAATTTTTGAATTTCCTTTATCTTTGCTATTTTGTTAAGTTT